AAAAGGCGTCTCCGCGGCTGGATGAGCACCTATGGAAAAATGCTTTCGGGCCAATCGTCCTCTAGTATACATACTGTGGGTGGACAAAATTATGCACCAGCTATCATGGGCCGAACTGCAGGGACCTCACCAAGGGGGCTCGCGACCGCACGAAAGAAGGTCTTCGCCCGGGCTTTTCCAGCAACAGACCTTTGCGGGCAAGTCAGTCCCTGGCAGATCCATCTGATTAAACGCAAATCCGAACGGACTTGTTCGATCGGTCCCATGGTTTCAAATTTCGAACGGACTCACAGTAGCTCACTGGCAAGCAAAGCCAACCTCTGGATTTGTTTCGGTTTTTGCCATGCGGTCAAGTCCTGTTTGGTTGTCTGGGCCCAGTGATTTGATGGATGACCGAGGCACGGCTGGCCGTGGCTTCTGCTGGGCCCTGAGCAGGTTGATGCAGAGGGTCCCCTTTCCCATTTCTTCATGTGGACCCCTTCCCCTTTTTGAGTTTTCACAGGGCGAACGATCAAGAACGGCCGGGTTCCCTTTATCTACTCACCCCTTGAGTTGGACTTTAAACTTTCTGGGAATGATCATTTTAGTCATAAACAGTTGGTTTGGACTGGGGCGAAACGATCAACCTTGGCGAGCGCTGTTGCTTCCCATGTTGCTGCATTCGGGGCTTTGGTCTTTTCCTGACGCGCGCTGCATGCCTGGAAGCTTGTGTGTGATGGATGGAAGGGAGCCAAGCAGCTGGGGTAATCCGCATTGGCTCTGAAACGGGGAGCTAAGGAGCTACCAGGAGTTCTGGTAGGACATGGTGGTTCTTGTCAACTTTGCAGATAGTTGGGAAGGCTGGAAAGAGGCTGCATGTTCACCTGGGAAAATGATAAACCATGTATATTTGGGTGGCCGAAAAGAGTGTGGTCAGGGGGCCTAATCTCGTTTCTCAAGCGGCTCGTGCTCAAGTATATCTTCAGCTCTACGCTTAGAGCTGTTCGGGGCTGCTGGGTCCAGTGGCACAACTTTAGCGAAGGCCTGGATGTTCTTAAGAGTTTTGGGTGGGGGGGGGGGGGGTTGGGGGGCATAGGTATCCTTTTTGGTTGGTTTGCTTAAAAAATAGCGGGCCCTGGTTTATGCATTCCATTTTGCAGGGTCATCCATTTTTCCAAAAGGCCACCTATGGTGGGGGGGTGCTATTGTGGAAGCCACACCATTTTGGGCGTCTGTTTTTTTAAGGCGCCCTCAATTACCGGCCCCAGGACCCTTCTTCCAGCAGCGCATGCGCAAGGCTTGGCACCGCGTACGTTTCTGGGCGGGGGGGTTGAGGTCGGCTTCCTAAAGCATCTTAAGTCTTAATGCTCGTGAGGATTGGTAGTCTATGGTCTGTTTGGTGGGGATTCGCGGGAAGCCGATGAGGATTCACGCTCAGCTGAGATGTTCGCCAGGCTTGTGCAGGTCAGGGAACGCATGACAAGCGTTGCCAGACCATGGCCTGTGATAAGGATGCAAAGGAAGACAAAATAATGACATGTAATAAATCAATACACACACATATATGTATATATATATATATATGTAAATCTTATCTGTAATGGTCTCAGGTAGGGCAGGCCCTTTCCGCTCCCTTAGCATCCCCGTGTGAAGCCTAGGACCTTTTGTTGGGGGGGTAGGGGGCCATCGGGTCTTCGCCACGATGGGGCAATGCGTTTCGGCTCAAGCCGCCGCAGCTTTCCGGAAGGAGACGGTGGCACAGATGATACCGTGGATGGCTGCGACATGCATTTCGCACCTAGCTTGGTGGCTCTCAGCCATCCGGGTCCCCAGCATTTGAGCTTTTTAGTCGGGTTTTACATGGGTTTCAACAACATTTTAGCAGGGGATCTGAGGACAGCCCAGCTCAGAAGCCCAAGAGAATGAGTCGATTCCCTGTAAATAGCAACAAACTCGATGGTTTCCACCATGGTTTATTTTCGGTGGTGCGAAATGGATTTCAAATCCATCCACAGTGTCAAAGTATATCGAGGGGTGTGCAAGCTCACTCATAATTCAGGTGCCCTTGGGGATCCGGCTTGTGGCTTGTTGCAACCATTTGCTCTCTTTGGGATCGCTGGAAGGTTAGGAAGATGTTGCATCTTCGACTTGACGGTTGGATCCTTTCGCGGGAAAATGGACACTGCACTTGTGGAGACCCTAAGGACGGCATGCGTGCTTCTCCATGGTTGGAACTGGCCAGCGCCCGGGGCCACCTTAGCCGTTTTAGAAGCCGCCCAGAGGCCCACGCTCGTACAGCCTTGTGCTGAATGGCCCTGTAGTTGTTCCACGTTTGCCAAGGAAAACCCAACCCAACAAACCAAGCAACCAAACGGGAATGCATCAGTCTTCATTATTTCCAGAGGCCCTATATAGATTGGCCTCGCTTCCTCAACTCCACCCCATGCCGCGATCCGCGGGCCGCTGCCGGGTGTGCAGGCTGAGCTAGTGGGCATAGCGTCATGAGGTTTCCTGGTGGAGTGAGGTTTAAACGGGGTACTTGAGGAATCCAGATTCAGCTCACCTGGTTTCTTGTCTTCCATTTGTTTAAGAATATTTGTTATTTTCCCTTGTTGGTTTTGAAAGGAATCGATCACTACTGGACGAAATGAGCGCCCCAAAATGTCCTTTAGGCGTTCTAATTTGGTGGTTCTACCTGGTTTTGGATTTCAGTTGCGTAGGCCTATAGAACCTTGTATGCATCTTAGGACCAGCTTTCAATGGACTTTTTGGTCGCTGCTGTGAAGCCTTTCATCTTGTCTTTTCAAAATCAGGGTCTCCTCCAAAATCATGTCAAAAAGGGTTAGCTGAATATATACCAAAGTGTGAAAACATGATTTGGCATGTTCCGATATCCTAAAAGCAGGGTTACTGCTTGTACGCCACTCCCAAGGTTTTGTCCTGAAAGTGGCTGGTGTCCGGTCTGATTACTCGTTGGATTCTGCCAAAGAACAGAAGTCAAGCTGCATAGGCATAAGCAAGTGTGTTTTTTTTGCAGCGAGGGATGCCAGCCTGCATCGGTAGACATAGGGGTGTTGACGGTTGAAGGAAAACGCGGCTTGCCCTTCTCCCAATTCCAGCACAGGGCGCTTTCCGTATGACCCTGCCTTTTTTGAAGGGAAGGTGCGTCCTTTCGGTGACAAGATGCTGCAGCATCCTTTTTCTTGGCCCTTAATTGTGCGCTCGAGCTGCAGTACATCGCCAACCTTTAAACAGTCATGTCACCCTGTGACTATGAGGTGCCAGTTGTAGCGGATAATTCCTTGTGCTTTCTCGCTACGCTCAGTGGCTTCTTTCAGGGAAGACTCGACAGATACGAGTTCACATTGTTTTTTGCTTCAGGGGATTTGCCAAGACTGTTGGTTTACCTTTAAAACCGACCAAAACGAAATACCCTCACAAAGATATACAGACCCCACAAACCTGAAGCCCACACGAACTGGGGATGGACGAAGTCCTGCACCACCTAAGAAGCACTAGTAGTATGATTCCCCCAAAAAACGAAAAGTAACCGCGAATGGTTTGCCATGGTTTCTTCGGTGCGAAATGGATTTCGTAACCATCCACGGTATGCTCACTTCCTGAGTTCATGCACGTTATAAACTTTTTGGGTTTGGACCATTTTAGTGGTAAATATCAAGTTTGGACTTTTTTGGGCCATCTACTCAGCCAGTGAGTATGTTCGACGCTATTGGAGTTGAGTCGATTTGTGGACCCATCTCTCGCCAGGGCTCTCGGCTAGGCAGCCGTGGCCTCGGCATAGACCTTCGCGGCTCTGCTGAAGGAGATGCAGATTCCGCTTGGGGAAGCAAAAGCCGGGTGAAGACTGGACACGCACGAGCCATGAACGCACGAAAGTAAGCGTTTGCACGTATTTGTCCATATTTGCTCCTGGCTTGCAATTCGGGCTTCGGCGCCGATAGATCCCGGTAGCATCCTTCCAAATGGGCGGGCTTTTTCTTGACGGATGCCCTTTCTGGGGCGGTTTCGAGGGATGTTGGGCACACCGAGCGTTTGAGGAGTCGCCCACTTGGCACCCTCAGTTCCACGGCACCATGCCGCCCGCATTTTTTTTCAGGGTGCCCTTTTTGAGGGGTGCTTGATTGTGGAAAGGAGGGCAAAGGGAAACCCCACCATTTTGAGTGTGTCTCCAATTTGAGGCAAACCCACATGATGTATGATTAATATATCTCTCATTTGAGGATTTCGGCTTGGAGATGTTGTTTGTTTCAAATCCGGGAGGTTAACCTACAAATCACTAGTTCAAGATTCTAGCTGAGTGATGCTGAGCCTCGCTACATGCCTGCAGCCATTTGGCTGGAAAGGTCATGGTCAATCATGGAACTTGTGTGGGGCAACACCCGCCCGACATCACCCGAACCATTCTGGCTACATCGGCATATTGAATGGACAGACTGCAGCAAGCGTTGCCTGCTTGACGCGTTAAGGCCTACGACGTGTTGTTTGCAGCATATGCTTCAAGTCCTGAAGTAGGCTGTCCAGCCCCCTTGTCAGAGAAGCGATGCAAGCTACCAGCTAGTGGTGCCCTTCGTAGAAAGTGCCGTAGTCTCACGTAGACGGCAGGTCCCAAAGGCCAGCCACCCGGCCCTGGCAGGAGGGAAAACATGTGCAACACCCACTCAAACCAGCCCGGACCCCAGCCAAAGCGCTCCAAAGGCGCTTTCGTGCTGCGCAGGGGGCCACACAGCACATGTCACGCCGCCGTCAGAGATGATTAGGCTGTGTGCCTTTTTGAAACTGTCCCTTGTTCCAATTTGTGGAGTCTCTTTTTTAGGGAAGCAAGGGGAACAACCAGAGTTCCAAATAGGGTAAGACACTCCTTGGTGGTTCTTAGTTTTTTAAGCTTTTAGTTGGTTTAGTGGTGGTTTCCGCAATTCACCCAGAAACGTTAGTCGCTTTTCGGGGATCAGAAAACAGCCAGCCCAGACTCAAAATCGCTGAGCCGCTCTTGTTTCCTTCCCATGGAAGCGGATGCCTCTGCACCGCACGGCGACAGCCCCGACGGAGATGGGGGTGGCGCGGATGGCGCCGCTGCGCCGGAGCTGCGGCTCGGGCATCTTGGCCACCGGCGCTGGGTGCGTAGCTATATGTTTCTTCAGAAAAGTATAGGCGAGCTTCCTCCTAGCTGGTGGTTGGGATTGGCTTGGTGGTTTGGATTGGTGGTTTTCCATGTATCCTCTTCCTGAGTGCCTGGACTTTATGATGCTTTTGGGGAAGACCATCTAAGTGGGCAGAAAGTGTGGACTTGTTTGGACCAATCCACTCGGGAAGTGAGGGGCATGTATGCGTGAGGTGCCCCGTCGCCGTATTGAACCTGGTGTGTGGGAGTCGCTTTTCGGGTTTCCAACTGGCTGGGTCACGGAACCTTTGCGTGTTACCTTTTTTTTCCGCAGGTTTATATTTTTCCTTGATCAGCGTAAAGCAGCCATCAACAGCTTTTCTCTGCCGCTGCTCCGAGCCATGCAAGGGGGATGTGTGCCCAGAAAGGGTCCCAACTGTATTCATTTCACGTGCCAATATTATTGGTGTTTCTCATAAGATAGGTTTCCCCATTTTGGATCAAGGGGAAGCCAAAAGGAAACCAACCACCGGTATAAATATGTCCCTTTTGAGAAAACCCATATTCTGGACAAAGCCCAAAGCGAATCGAGCTTTCGACCTTGGAGTTTTTCGTTGGTCCGCTTTTAGTCGCCAAAGCAAGTGATTACCTTTGATTTCTGGGTCCAGCTGTGAAATCACCCGATTGCAATTAATCACCATAGTTTTGAGGGTATCCTTTTGTGGTAGTTTTAAAGGGAAACCACAAGAAGAACCACGAATCTCGGGGTACCAATTTTCATGTATATTTCGCTCATATGGGTGTGTGTTTCTTGAGCACCTTCTTGGTGTGGTTTTAAAGGTAAACCAAAGGGAAACCAAGCACAATTTTTAGGGCCCCTACAAAATAGACACTCCCATGTGTTTCATTGTTTTTGGGTATGAGTTCCACTACACCAAAGACCCCCACCCCCGCACCTGGACAAAGTTACCTATATGGGGGTGTGTTGTTTGGGTGACCCCCCACTTGTTGGCGGGGTTTAAAGGCCAGGCAACAGGAAACCAAAATCCATTTTGGGGGTCCCCTACAAAACCACACTCCCATGTGTTTATTGTTTTTGGTAGGAAAGGTAAACCAACGGGAAATCGGCATTCAGATATCCTCTGATTGTTGGTGGTTGGGGGATTTGAGCCTGTGGCCCACCACGCCACCAATCAGAACCTCTTTGTGTTCTGGGAATGAGAGGTAAGCCAACCAGAAACCAACACATTTTGTGAACCTCTTTGTGTTCCAATTATTTCTTTCTTTGGGAGGGGGGGGGCTTTTTTTTGCTGGGTTTTGAAGGTCAACCAACGACACACCGAAATCCGTTGGTTGTTCGCTTTTTTTTGGGAGGACAGCGGGGAGGGGGGGGGGTTGGACAAAGCGACGGGCGAGGTACATAGATGTCCTTTTTGGTTGTTTTGATAGAAAAATCGATGGCGATTCCTGGTGTACCTGGTGGTTTCATCATCCACCGGGGCCATCTATTTCCCCCAAAAGGACGCCCATGTTCACATCGCAAATAGACTACAGAAAAGAAAGTCGGGTCCCCTTATTCCAACCTCCAAAGCTGGAGGACCGGCTGCTTGTGCACATGGACCGAGCTGCTTTTAGGGGAGGAGAGCGGGGGTTTGGACCACGCGGCGGGCGAGGTACTTCTTCTTCTCCACGGAGGCCTCGGAGCTGAAGCTCAGCTCTCGCTTCGAGGCCTTGCGGGACCTGAGGCGCGGGGTAACACGCGGATGCGCGTGTGGGATGGGCGCCGCGCGCCGGGTGGCCATAGAACCTCCACGGCTTCGGCTTGATGCCGTTTGGGAATACACGGACCCACTCCCTGAGATTTGTTTATGTTTTTCTTAGGTTTAAACGTTTTTTGCAAGACAAATCAGGGGTAAATAGGCAGTTTGGTTACTTTTTCTTGGGCCGATCCACTCAGTGAGACACAAAGTGGTAATCAATGAGTTTTTGGGCACTTCCAAAGCTTGAATTGGGATCCAGTATGTCAAGGGCACATCCCATCCACAAACATGGAACCTCACCGATCCAATTTTCTTTTATATAAAGGAATCTGGTACCCAAAGGGCCGAGCAAGAATACCCAAAGTGGCAGTTGTTTTGGGATCTTTTTGCTTCACTTGTTTTAGCTTGTTTTTAGGTTTTCAGATTGTGGGTTCTGTACGTTTTTTAGAGGGGGGCTACAAGAAACAGCTGTTTGGCTCCCAAATGCAGGGTTGGACAGTTTTGGGCAAATCCACCGAGGCCCCGAGCTCCTAGGTCCCTGTTCGTGGCTGGGTCAGTCCAGGCAAAACCTAGCGATGGCATGATGGCTGTCGTTGGTGGTGCCTCAGCTTCCGTACTGGGTGCCAAAAAAAGTGCCTCAGAACCAAGCGCCCGATCATCCCCTCCCACGTTGCCATACAACCTCGTTGGTTCTCCGGGGGCCTTCCGGCGACCTCCACGGCAATTCCACACATTCGCAGAATCTGCGCGCTGCGAAGGCATCCGAACCTGGCACAGTACCTGGAGTCTTGGCCGATATGTTTCGCCAAGAGGTAATCTCGTTCTAGTATTTGGGAGTGTTCCCTCCAAAAGTGATGAATCACTCCCGAATTGGGACACCCTCCAATTAATCAGCCATGGGTTTATGAACCTGGGGTCAATATTGCCGCGGTTGACATCTACTTCGCCTTTCTATGCAGGCAGGTTTATCAAGCCACCCACCTGGGAAAAGCGCAGGTGCGCGAAATTGAAGGAACAGCCCATCTTTGGGGCCTTTGGGGGGGATCGACCAGCAAAGCTGCTCGGCCCACTTGGCCAGTTGTGTTGGGTTGGGACCGGACGTGGGAAGCTGCAGAGTTTCAGCCCAAGGCCGTTTGTACGTTTTCCGTGGTTGATACCTCGAAAACAACGTATGGAATTGGGGATCTGGAAGAACTTTAATGATTAAAGGACCGGATAACCCCACATGCTATGTTTTTCCCAAATGTCCACACACATGTACCGTGCGCCCCTTGTATGGATGCGATTACAGAGCACCCAGATGCACAGAATGCAGCGCCTGCCACGACTTCGGCAACGGCATCGCCAAAGTGCTGCGCCTGCCACGATTTCGCAACGGCATCGCCAAAGTGCTGCGCCTGCCACGATTTCGCACGCCCCCCGCCGCGCGCGCGACAACATCCTGTCCCTCTAGACAGCTGCCGAATGCGACCCCTGCCACACAAACACACACCCAGATGCACAGAATGCTGCGCCTGCCACGACTTCGGCAACGGCATCGCCAAAGTGCTGCGCCTGCCACGATTTCGCAACGGCATCGCCAAAGTGCTGCGCCTGCCACGATTTCGCACGCCCCCCGCCGCGCGCGCGACAACATCCTGTCCCTCTAGACAGCTGCCGAATGCGACCCCTGCCACACAAACACACACCCAGATGCACAGAATGCTGCGCCTGCCACGACTTCGGCAACGGCATCGCCAAAGTGCTGCGCCTGCCACGATTTCGCAACGGCATCGCCAAAGTGCTGCGCCTGCCACGATTTCGCACACCCCCCGCCGCGCGCGCGACAACATCCTGTCCCTCTAGACAGCTGCCGAATGCGACCCCTGCCACACAAACACACACCCAGATGCACAGAATGCTGCGCCTGCCACGACTTCGGCAACGGCATCGCCAAAGTGCTGCGCCTGCCACGATTTCGCAACGGCATCGCCAAAGTGCTGCGCCTGCCACGATTTCGCACGCCCCCCGCCGCGCGCGCGACAACATCCTGTCCCTCTAGACAGCTGCCGAATGCGACCCCTGCCACACAAACACACACCCAGATGCACAGAATGCTGCGCCTGCCACGACTTCGGCAACGGCATCGCCAAAGTGCTGCGCCTGCCACGATTTCGCAACGGCATCGCCAAAGTGCTGCGCCTGCCACGATTTCGCACGCCCCCCGCCGCGCGCGCGACAACATCCTGTCCCTCTAGACAGCTGCCGAATGCGACCCCTGCCACACAAACACACACCCAGATGCACAGAATGCTGCGCCTGCCACGACTTCGGCAACGGCATCGCCAAAGTGCTGCGCCTGCCACGATTTCGCAACGGCATCGCCAAAGTGCTGCGCCTGCCACGATTTCGCACGCCCCCCGCCGCGCGCGCGACAACATCCTGTCCCTCTAGACAGCTGCCGAATGCGACCCCTGCCACACAAACACACACCCAGATGCACAGAATGCTGCGCCTGCCACGACTTCGGCAACGGCATCGCCAAAGTGCTGCGCCTGCCACGATTTCGCAACGGCATCGCCAAAGTGCTGCGCCTGCCACGATTTCGCACGCCCCCCGCCGCGCGCGCGACAACATCCTGTCCCTCTAGTGAGTGTGAGTGAGTGAGTGAGTGAGTGAGTGAGTGAGTGAGTGAATGAGAGTGAGTGAATGAGAGTGAGTGTGAGTGAGTGAGTGTGAGTGAGCGTGAGTGAGTGAGTGAGTGAGTGTGAGTGAGTGTGAGTGAGTGAGTGTGAGTGTGAGTGTGAGTGTGAGTGAGTGAGTGAGTGAGTGTGAGTGAGTGTGAGTGACTGAGTGAGTGAGTGAGCGAGTGTGAGTGAGTGAGTGTGAGTTGAGTGAGTGTGAGTTGAGTGAGTGAGAGTGAGTGAGTGAGTGAGACGGAGACGAGCGGGAGGAGGAGGAGGAGGAGACGCGGCGCGCGGACGACGAGCGGAAAAAGTAAGAACCCCACACAAAGATGTGGGGAAAAAACTACTCATCCCCTTTTTCGTCTCCTTTAGGACGATGACCAACTCACTTGCCCAAAGGACCCAGATATTTTGTGTGAACCTGTTGGAGCCTTGCCTAAACATGACTAAACCAAAAGGTGCAAAGGGCGATTCGCTTTGCACAACTGAGAGCAAATGTGCGTGGCTCGTCTCTTAGAGGGGGACCCATTTCGCGTTGGTTTCAAGGGGGGGCCAAAACGGAAAACACAGCTTTCCGCGGGCCGGGGGTTCCGTAGGTTGGATATTTGGTTTCTAGGCCGCCGCTTGGCAGAAAAAGAAGCATGGAGGGCCTAAACACCCCAAGGCACGGAGGTGATAGAACTTCACGGCCAGAGACTCGTTTCTCGCAGCCATTCCACAAACAACAACACGTTGCAGTCATGAGGCACCCTGAAAACTGGCCGGTATCCTTCTGCTTTTCCTGCAAGCTGCCCTGCGCGCCCACCGTTTCTGGGGTAAACCGGTAAACCCCATGCCAAGCCAGGAAAAGCAAGGCAAACAAAGAGGGCTGTCAGGGGTGCTGGGGGTACCCCATTTGAGGAAGCACAGGGCATGAAGGGTCCAAAATCGGACTGTTTGCAGATTTAAACATGTGAACTCATTCCATATTGGGGCAGAATCAATTCGTCGATTTGTGTGTGTGTCCTTTAGAGTCAATCACGAATCACCTCGCTATTGGAAACTCACCTTTTTTGTGTTGTTGGGGGGGATCAACTGAAGATGATAAAAGCTGTCAACTTATGATCATAACCACACTTGGCTTCAAAGTACCCCACAACCCCCCATTCTAGTTCACACATACCTATTTACAGACATACCAACAAATCACTGATTATATAAGTGAAGGACTAAATATCTAAATAAACATAGATATTGTTGTTAATATATATATATATATATGCGAAGCCCCCCTCCCCCCCAAAAAAAAATGCCTTCCCACACATATATATATATATATATGTGTATCATCCGCCCTGGCACGTTCATCGAGGACATCCTCACGGGCCGCGGCCTCGTCTTCGTGGCCTGCGAGCACTCCTCCGCATCCTTGGCTTCGAAGCTGCGAGAGTCAGCGACGCTGGAGACGGCTGCGGCGCTGCAGGCGCTGGGAGTCCGACGCAGGGGTGGGGAGACGGAGGGGGTCTTTGGGTGAGTCTGTTTTGGGTGATCAGAGTCGTTTTTTTGGGTGAGTCTTTTTGGGTTTGTCTTCTTTGTGTGAGTCATTTAATGGGTCTGTCTTTTCATATTTTCTTGAGGATGCCTTTGTTTGTTTTTTTACAGGGGAACCAAAGGACACACAAATTTTGGGTGCGCCCCCTAACAGGAGAAGGCTCCAGCTCACGCAGCCGGGGTAACTCGAGCGAAGACCCACGGTTAAGATCCGTTGCTTGGAGATCCGGGATCTCTGATGTTTTCGATTATTCAGCATTTGTTCGCAACCTGCCCAGCTGGAACGACAGGCTTCCAGCCAAGAAGTTGTGATGTCGTAGGGACAAGCCAGGGAGTGGAGGCGACGTCAGGGAGAAACGTATTGGAGAGGGGCTCGCAGGAATCGATAGTTACTGTACCAATGCATTCCAGAAGGTTTCGGAGGGTGTTTTATTGAGGGCACTCTTTGTTCGGTGGTTTTGAATGAGAACCAAAGGACAACCATTTTTTGTTTAAAAACTACTTTTATTTATGTATTTGCTTTTTTGGGGGTCCCCTAACAAAACAACACACCCAAGAGGTTGATGATACATTTAAAAATTTATCTTTATTTATGTGTTTGTTTTTTCGGGGGTCCCCTAACAAAACAACACACCCAAGAGGTTGATGATACATTTTGCCGTTTGCCTTTTTCTGCGACGGGAGTTTTCTTTGCAGCGACAGTTTGGCATGAATATGGGAATTCCAGTTTGGTTTCACTGACCTTGTTGCTTGTGTTCATCATGTTGGCAGAGCCCGGATGAGTAGCTAAAGGTTTATAGATCAGGGGTCAACATTATGTCCTGTTACCCAGTCTGTGCTTGCTTGAGCAATGGATCAATTGATCACACAAAGGTGCAGTGCAATTCGCCGGAAACGAAGGTTCAAAGAGGGCATTGGTTGAGTTGGCCCGGTGTCTTGGCTCGAACTTAGAACCCAGATTGGGTTCCCCAGCCCAAACCAGCACTTGCCGGACTACCATTCTGGGCGCCACAAATCGCCAAAGGCGGAATGTTTTGTTTGCTCCAGGCCCCCAGCGTCCGGATAGATCCGATGCCAAGATGCCAGGTAGTAGCCCAAATTCTTCGGGCCCTCTGCTACTTGAACAGCCTCTGCCTCGTCCACGGGGCTTTGGATGCCGAGACGGTGCTGCTGAAAGGCCTGCAGCTCGCTAGCTGCTTCAGCGGGGGGCGGGGCAGCACCTGCGGTTATTTCTGTTTGGGTCTGAGAGGAGTTGAGGAATTCCCAGCTCAGTGCAGAGGCCCACACGACTAGAATGGGGTTGCGGGGGGAACCAAGTTAAGCCATTATCATGGGATCAAACTATCAGTACGCAGCAACTGGGATGGGGTACTGTCGCCGCAATAAGACATGGTGGTGATATGCGACCCACACAAAATCCCGCCAACAAATCGCCTCTCGTACTTCCAACCTGGGGGGCGCGTCTGCTCAGTTTAACGTCTACCGGTGACGCCCGGCACCTCAAGCGACGCCCCCCCTGGGCGCCGGTTCTGCCGACCCGCAGGCGATGTGTCCAGCGTGTTGGTCACGGGCCATGGGCTTGGGCATCTCATGGCCTACGGGCGCCTGGGCAAAGCCTTCGGAAGCGCCCAGGACGGCGGAGGGGAGTTGGAGTTGGGCGAAAGTTGTGGAGGAACCTGACCCGGGGGCGGGATGTTGGTGGGGTCTTTGGTGACTAAGATGTATTTAGATATGTATATTTGTATATGTATCACATATGCGTGTGTATATATATATATATATAGGCACATGTTCGTGGAAATCATGCTTGCGACCGAGCTGTTGGAAAATCAAAGATGTTGGTGTTCCTTTAAAGGGAGGGTGTTTCAACAAATGCCCAACCATGCCCCAGGGGGCCCCTCGGTGGATTGCAAGCGAGGTTAAGATGATCTACCTTGATCCTTAAAGCCACAGTAATTGCGTTGATTCGAAATTGGTTTCATTTGTGCACTTGGATGGGCAACTCTTTTGGATTGTCCTTTGACAGGGCTGAACTGCAGGGCATCGTTAGTGCGCCTGTTGGTTTTTTGTATTGGAGAGGGTTGTCCTTTAAACCAACCAACATCGGCACTTCCGTCAACCGACAAAAATGACGGGTGTGCGGCTTCAGCACTTGGGGCTATCGGCTTCAGCATCTTTGGCTTTGAGGGGCCGGTTTCCGGCTGGTTGAGTAGAAGTGCTTCTTCTTCGCGGGGAAGCCACCACCGGGGGTTGATAAGATACACAAGCAAGATAAGTACGGTGTCTACTACTTCCGTGATGGGCACTATGTGAGCCTCAGTCCAAACCTGGGAAAGTGAAGATTAGTAGGGGACTTGGGGCCCATCTTAGCCGGAAAAATCGGTGCGGCCGCCTTGGTACTTCCCTGCGTGGATTTGGGTATGCCATTCCCGGATCGCCAGTTGCTGCTTTTTTCCTTGCGCTTTACCCTAAGAACCAGCAACAGTGACTGAAAAAGCAGCAACTTGGCTATCTAGGTTGTAGTACCAGGTTACCTGTCTGCTAATGGGTTGGATCTTTAGACTTTAACTTTTTGGGAAAGAAAGGTGTTTTCCATTAAACTTCAACAAGTTAAGCTTTTTGCAGGGGGGTCAAGAGCAACCAAGGTTTTGACGGTGACTCATGTCAGAAATTTCCGGGGGAGCGACGCTTCCTTGGAGGACCCCGTTTGCACGGCCCCGGAGCTGGGCGTGAAGATGCCCAGCAGCCAGCCGGATGTCTGGAGCCTGGGCATCTTGCTGCTGCAGATGCTGCGCCTCTGGCTTAGCTTAAGCAGAAATAGGCTGAAAATAAGGCCGAAATGGGCAACACGGCATGTGTTGGTGGAAACCAGCAAATTAAGGCTGAAACGCTAGTTGGCCTTATTCGTCTGGGGGAGGGGGGTTCGTGGGGGGGGGAATGGGATTCTGTGGCCTCGCTTTTGGAGGGATCAAAATTTCATGATAGTCTCTTAGCTCAATATATCGGAAATGATCAAAGACATTAAAATTTGTCCGAGTGACAACGTATATGATAACCTATTGGCTCAATTGAAAAGAAATTATCAAAGACATGAAAATTAGTTCCTGGGCAGTTTTTTTGGCAATGCGCTCGGCAAGTGAAAGGCTCAATAGCCACAATGTTGTGCAACTCCTCAGGCCTCCTGTCAAAACCGACTGCCAAATGCGGCCGTGTTTCTCAGACGTGGGCATCAGCGTTGGCTTCGCAAGAATCATTGCCTAGCAGTGCCCAGAAGGTAAGTCTTTCCACGTCAAGCGATCAGCATCCGATTCATCGGTGTTCATTGGTTGTCCCTGTTTTGGGCCGATTGGTGAGTTGATCATGGGTTTTGGTAGGCCGGTTGGCTGCTTACTAGGCATCCGTGCAGTTGTCGCAAGTCTGCCAGGCCTCCGAATAGGGTTCAAGCGCTTTTTTTTTTTTTGTGATGTTTAAGCGGAAATGTAGGGACATCCTGCCTTGTCTCATATATACTTTACACAGTGTATACATATACAGAATACATACTGAAAGTTGGCTTGCCGTGAGACATTTGGCCTGGCTGAAATGTAGTGGCAGGCCATTCTTACCTTTATCTTTGAAGCGAAGCAACTACCTTCTCTCCAACAATAGTTAGGTCCACCCCAGCGGAAAAACAGCGCATTTTCCCTCCCAAAGGAAGACCATGTTCCTTTTAAAGGGACCGAGCCAGGTTCCATGTTAATTGGTGGCAGGGTACCCCTCATCTGTTTCGTGGTCGCCTGTCCCTGGGCAGTTGAAACCAACCGCCTGAAGGCAAGGTCGCTGGAGCGACGGACGTGCGGATCCCTCCCACTGCCGCGTAGCGCTGGAGACCAGCGCGGGCCTTTGGCGCCTGAAAGGCGAAAGGGGCGCCACGGCGCAGGAGGCGCCTTCGCGCGGTTCGGGGCGCCGAGCTGACGGGGTGGCTTTCCGGCGCTTGGTCTGGAAAGCGATGTAGGCCGGTAGGATGTTGACATTGCAAAAAGGCGGGGAAATGCACAGAAGGCGTATTGTGACAGTTTTCTAGATGGGGGAGGGTGAGAGATGCGCGGGAGGACTTGTACGCCAAGCTTCGAGGGTTGACGCCACGCTGCCGCGGCTGGGATGACATTTAGTTGTCTTCAATGCCTGACGGCCAAGTCCCAGGCTCCAACAGGCCTCCCCTCCATGATGCCCATGCGCATAGGGACACCCGTTTCCATACGTTGAGGGCGTGGGGGCTCTTGAACACACCGGTTCGAAAACGAACAAACACTAGACCATTGAACGTATCATCGCTCACAGCACTGGCTGCGTTGGTCCGAGCGACGTGTGATTTAAAGCTGACCAAAGGCCCTTTCGTTCGCAGAGTTGCCTTCCAAAGGCCTTGCCTCAACATCCAGCAACTCAAAGTCCTATGTTTCACTTAGTGACATCCCCCCGCGCGTAAATCAGGCATGCAGGTCACTATGCAGGAGTCCCACTTGGAGGAAATCACCTGATGAGGCAAAAAAGGGTTCCATGAGGGGCCTCAGTCACTGGGAGCCTCACTCGAGTAGATATCACTGTGTGCAGCAACACACATCGCGAGGAACCCTAGACAAGAATTAAATTGTACAGAGGACGAACGCCTTGTGAAATGCAAAGGAGGTTTTGAGGTTCCACGGGAGGGAAATCCTGCTTGGACTCCGGGAGAAGCGCTTCTTCACCAACCCTTCCCCCAAAACTCTAGCAGACTCTAGCCATTGTCTCGCCCAGCGCCTGGGCTAGTAGAGGTTCCTGTATTTGCCGTTCATGCGGTTTTAAGCCGCACCTTGGACGCTTTTTAAGGAAAGCTTCCCTTGGTACGGGTGATGTTTAAAGGGGAAATCGCCAATTGGGAGGTGCTGAGCCAGAGTGAGGAGGCGCTAAGCCCATCCTTGCACGACCTCCAGGTCCAAAGGGCGAGGGGAGGCGGAGTCTGAGAGGGGCCTAGGTCTGCCTTATTGTTGTTTGCTCATGGAATCAATGTTGCGTCTACCTGAAAGTGAATCTCTGAGTCCATGCTGCATCTATCGGTGCCGCAACTATGGGACAGGGGAAGGAAAGAAATGGAAGAGAAAAGTATGTTCATTCTTGGAAATTCATAGAGGCGCTGAGTCATTAGCCTCTCCTAGTTTCGACACATATCAGATTCCGAGCATGTCAACATCCTTGTGGATCAGACCCAGGGTTGTTTGCCTGGAAGTTCATGAAGTTGGGTCAATGAGTCAAGACGAGGCTTGCTGGAGCCATGCCTGAAGGGACACGTACCCCCGGTCAACCCTTGCAAAAGGCTGGGTAAGGGCTCGGCATCCTTTTGCTTGGCTGCTTGAAATAGCCTTCTTTTGTGCAGAGAGGTTGTCAGGGTTCCGTGATGGTTTGAGCATGTCCAAAAGGTTGAACAATTTTGGGGAAGTCTCTGGTTTTTGGGTGCCCTTTTTCGGCTGTGAACAAGAAACAACCGCCTTTTTTTGGGAGTGTTTGACAATTGTGGGTGTGTCTTTGTTTGAGGGTCCCTTGTTGGGTTGTTAAAAGGAACACCGCCTTTTTGGGGGGTCCTCCAAAAAAACGTCCTCATATACCCAAACATCAAGCAGGAAGTGACCAGTTGCCTGCGTGCTTCGGCATCTCTCGGAGGACTTGGCGGCCTCCTACCGTCGGTGGCTGTTTGCAGAAGCTCGGCTTTCACTGCTCTGGTACGTATAGTGTCCTCAGGGCGTCCACTCCAGATGGATTTTGTTTGTCCAAGGTTACCTTCGGAGAAATCTGGAAGGTCCTGCTAGTCAGAGGAACCTCCGATAGTTGAGTCCAGTTCCTTACAGAAAGAGGACCACACCAGATGAATCCGAAGTTAGCATTACTGAAGGAACTGCCAACGCCAAACATAAAGTGTGCGCACTCGAAAGATAACTTAAAGTGGTGCCTTGGCGGTCTGTCATGTCCACACACCCGCAAATCGAAATGCCATTTAGACTGGGAGGTCCTAGCTGGCATCCTTTAATTGCTTAAAGTAGCCTTCCCCAAACACATTTGAGGTTTAAATAGTGAGCAGTGGCCAATTGGGTTAAAACATAAATCGCCACTGGCCACTCCTCTTTGCGAGTCCACACATGGGGAGACAGAAGGGGGGTGCAGTTGCAGAGGGAGACCCTGCCCATATATCACGCAGTTGCTAAGGGTTCGAGACCTTCAGGCTCATCCGCACTTCTTTGACCTATCTTAGTGGTAACTTTCCTGTTCTGGAACGGGGTCCTTTCCAGAAACCTGCCAGGGGCAACAGCAAGCGTTTAAGGAAATAGGGTTCGGCAAGAACCACCGGGCGGCTCGATCAATAGATCGATCTGTACACAAATTCGCCAAGAAACGTCAAATTGTCCAAGCTCAGGTGCAAGCATGAGCATCCTTGAACTGATGGCCTGGTTGAGCGATGGGGCCCAGTCCAACATATTCCTTGCCATGACGAAAGGCACGAGCAATTGCATTAGCTGGTTTCCTTTCCAAGGGGTACCTACCAACCCGGATCTATTTGTCTATCCGTGTAAGTTGCCATTGGTGTAAAGGGGTCATAGCCAAACCCCCAGTGAGAAGCCCCGTTTTCCCGTTACTTATGTAACAAGGACCCGTGTGACATACCTTTGTGGCTCCCGTCGAGCATAGGAAGTCACTCCAAACATAATTTCTCTCAAAAAGGGGACGTAGAATGTCAACGGTTTCCTACGGCTCCATACCTGGAGATCCCGCGAGTCCATGGCCATCGCCAGGAAGACGTGCCCTGCCGAGACTTCTGGGAAGTCTGCCTCACGCTGCGCCCGCACGAGCGCCCTACCCCCCGGGACCTGGCCTCCCACCCTCGGATGGCGCACCAAGAGGCGAGCGAAAGCGGCGGCCAGTGGGACTCATCCGGAGGACCAAGTGGGAGAAACGATATAGCACCCCAAAAAGAGACTCGGAAAGCAAGGGGTTTTGCACAACCTCATACAATGTCCTTACTAAAACGGGCGGGAAGAAAAACAACTAGTACGATCTCCGGATGTGTCTGAAGTCAACATTCAAGGGCATTGTAGGAGACAGCATGGCGATCCGATAAAAGTCCTTTGGCTGCCTTATCATGCACATGCAACCCATACGCTTAGGAAGCCCATGGTTGTTTGTTTCGTTGCTTGCCTTTTCGGTGCCGCCCCAAGACAGGGCGATCGCAAGCTCGAAGAGGTTGGCTCTCCAAATGTAGAGCCATGTAGGCGTCCCCAGGCTCCAGGAAACATATCCTGCGCAAGTTGTCGCAAGCTCATCCTGGGCGTAGAATGTCCGCGCCCATGACAAAGCTACTTTCCCTGAGGGTGGCCAGTAGTGACGGCTTTCCACACTGCAGGAGGCTGACCTTTGTTGAAGGGAGCCACGCGCTCAACACACACCAAAGAGGCGCGCCATCCGCAGAATGGCTCGACAGCTGGCCCAAGACGCCAATATTTGGCCGCACAAGTGGCACGATATGTCATGATTGACGGGCCCAACGTTAAAAATGGCTTTTGCAAAACGGGCTAGACACAAAGCAAGTGGTGTGACCTTTCAACCTCTGGCGTTTGGAAATTGTTTTGCAGGCGTCAGTTAGACCAACACAGTTTGTCGTTTGCGGAGGGCAACCCTTTTTGGTGTGTGTGCGTGTGTGTGTGTGTGTGTGTGTGTGTGTGTGTGTGTGTGTGTGTGTGTGTGTGTGTGTGTGTGTGTGTGTGTGTGTGTGTGTGTGTGTGTGTGTGTGTGTGTGTGTGTGTGTGTGTGTGTGTGTGTGTGTGTGTGTGTGTGTGTGTGTGTGTGTGTGTGTGTGTGTGTGTGTGTGTGTGTGTGTGTGTGTGTGTGTGTGTGTGTGTGTGTGTGTGTGTGTGTGTGTGTGTGTGTGTGTGTGTGTGTGTGTGTGTGTGTGTGTGTGTGTGTGTGTGTGTGTGTGTGTGTGTGTTGTGTGTGTGTTTGTGTGTGTGTGTGTGTGTGTGTGTGTGTGTGTGTGTGTGTGTGTGTGTGTGTGTGTGTGTGTGTGTGTGTGTGTGTGTGTGTGTGTGTGTGTGTGTGTGTGTGTGTGTGTGTGTGTGTGTGTGTGTGTGTGTGTGTGTGTGTGTGTGTGTGTGTGTGTGTGTGTGTGTGTGTGTGTGTGTGTGTGTGTGTGTGTGTGTGTGTGTGTGTGTGTGTGTGTGTGTGTTTGTGTGTGTGTGTGTGTGTGTGTGTGTGTGTGTGTGTGTGTGTGTGTGTGTGTGTGTGTGTGTGTGTGTGTGTGTGTGTGTGTGTGTGTGTGTGTGTGTGTGTGTGTGTGTGTGTGTGTGTGTGTGTGTGTGTGTGTGTGTGTGTGTGTGTGTGTGTGTGTGTGTGTGTGTGTGTGTGTGTGTGTGTGTGTGTGTGTGTGTGTGTGTGTGTGTGTGTGTGTGTGTGTGTGTGTGTGTGTGTGTGTGTGTGTGTGTGTGTGTGTGTGTGTGTGTGTGTGTGTGTGTGTGTGTGTGTTTGTGTGTGTTTGTGTGTGTTTGTGTGTGTTTGTGTGTGTTTGTGTGTGATTGTGTGTGTGTGTGTGTGTGTCTGCGTGTGTAGTTTTTTGCATGCCAAAGAATGGGACACCAACCCCATGTTCGGCCATCCATCGTGGAGGGTGGGGGCAATCCATCCAAGTGCTTGAGCCCCCGCCCCTCCCCATCCGCAGGTGCGTGCTTCCGAGAACTCGGGGTGGGGCCGCTGTTTCCTGCGATGTGCACGCCTGGAGACGCCGGGAGGCTCGGTCGCCTTGCCGGTTTTCTGGAGGTCCCAGATCTTCAGCGTCCCTTAACCTGGCGGTTCCCAGTCGTCCGGTTCCTTAGGTGTTTAGGTTAGCCGGTTAAGCGGGGGCTTCCATTCAATCGGATCTGATCGATTGGTTCTCCCATGTTGGTCCATAGTTAGAGAAGCTCCCAGAGGGTACCCATTACTTCCAGATCCAAACTGGGCAAGCAAGAATTGCCCAGATTTCGCCAGATGGTAGGGGGTTCCCTAGCGGCGTCCAACAGAGTACCAACGCCTGCTCCTTTTGTGATGTTTGGCGCTGAAATGAATATCAGAAAGCAAGGATCTCGGTATACTTTTCTTTGAATGTGTCCTTGTTTGATGGCTTGAAAGAGCAACTAAACAAACTCCCGGCCCGCATGATCCTTTCAAGCCCCAGTTCGGGGCTGGGTATGGTGTCCACGTTTTGTTTGTTTGAGAGGCGAAGGGAGCCCAGACGGGAGCCTCCGCGAACGGAAGCCAAGAAACGACGGAGCTTTCCGATTTCATATGAAAGGGTCCAGTCCAGTATATTGTATGCGTTGTATCTTAGTATATTATCTTACGCCGCCGGCCAGGGCGGATACTCATTATGCCACTACCGTTGGTCCCCTCAGGCCGTCAACCCCAAAGAGTGGCTGTGGCTTTGGAATTTGAGCTCGCTATGCTTTGTGAGGCTTGGTTTGAAGGGACGAAGGAAAACCGGCCCCCCTTTCGCGATTCCCGGATCCACTGAACTTGAGTGGATCCTCGGGAAACCTCTCATCAGGCGCAAAAGGATGAGGGTCCACAGCTGGAAACAAACCATTGGCGTGTCCGAATGGGCTCCAAACGTTGTTGGCTTCCCTGCACGCCTGAAAGAGTTTCCGCAAAAGCCAGAGGCACCCCGGTTTGGTGTTGACTATGGTGAGCGGGAAGCCCACCAAAACGGATTTAAATCTTGTGTTCTTCGTGACGACAGATCACGAAGCCCCAAGAAAGGTTCTCTTCTTTGCTACTACCGGGGTCGCTGGCCCTCCGGGGCTTGTCGTACAAGGGACCCCTTTTGGGGTTGACCTTGCCAGTTGGAAATCCACAATTCAAAATAGAAACATGGAACCCGAGCGGTGCGTTCAGGAAGATTACGTGCCTCAAGACGGCACCCTTTGGTTGGTTCCGTCATGGTGGGCAGGAGGGGCACGGTGAAGGTCCTAAATATTGCAAGTTTACCCTTGGTTCACCTGGGTTTTGGGCATGAGCGTGGTTGGTTTGCTTGCCACACCTCACTCCCTGAGTTGCTGGACTTGTTTGTCGTGGTAGACAATTGTAGTGGTAAACACGCAGTTTTGGGACTTTTCTGTCCGATCAAGTCGGGGTGTGAGGTACTCAGAGGGACTCCACCGCACCTTTGGCCCGCCAGGCATGCCAAAAGTCTCGGAGGCCCGGCGCTTTCTGAGCGCCAAGGGTATCGAGATCTCCCAGCTGCTCGGTGCCCGTTTCGGATCCGCTCACAGATTCGTGGAGAGAGGCTGGGTGCCTCAGTAGTGCCCTTTACTCTTATTCTAACCTCTCTACTGGAGGACCTAGGGGAGGTATACAGCGAGGTGACTGGGTCCAGGGATCCAAGTCTTGTTTCAGGTTTGGGCCCCGGTGCCCTGCTTTGTTCATTTGGGGGGTCAAAATCCACGAGGGGGTTAGGGGTCAAGGGGCAAAGCAAGGAGGTTAGCAAGGAGTTTAAGTCAAAGAGGCATACAAGGGGAAGATTTGGATGCAGTTCTTCTGGAGACCTGGCTGATCCGATTTCAGCCAACGGAGTTGCGAGGCTGGACTTGTGTTGAGGGTTCCATGGAGTGGTTTCAGACCCTTTTAAGCCTTGGCCCCGTCTACGTGCGTTGCAGGGGGCCGGATCAAATGGGACCCCGAAATTGCGGGGCCGAAAGCTGCGATTTGGTTTCTCCTCGTAAAAAGGTCAAGAGGGAATACTAGGGCGCATCCCATATATCAGAGTGGGTCAACAGGAATTGTTCGAAGATTATGTTGGATGACCCCCTAGATTTTGCAAGTAGGAAACAAGCTGGAAGCCCACAAACAACCCGGAAGTCCTGATTTGTGTTTGTTTCGCTTGTTATATTTCAGGAATCCACCACCCCCCGAATTAGTGTGGTTCAAAAGGGAAATTCAAAAGGAAAACCATTTTGAGGGGTTCAAAAGCAACCATTTTTAAGGCTATAATAGGGACTTTGGGGTACCTTTTGGGGGTTCCAATTCAGTTCCTGTTGGTCTTCAGGGGCACCACCCACAGAAGGAAATGACAAGCAATTTGTTGAGGGACCCTCCCCAATTTTTTGGGAAGCCCCGCTTGTTTTGGGAAGCCGCATGTTTTTCCGGCTTTCCCCTTGAGTTTTTGGGGGACGCCATTTTTGAGGGCAACCGCGTTCGAGGCTCAGACTTCGCGGACATTTCGCCCGTCGAATCGCGAGGCTCAGCTACTGGTGGCGCCTCATGGGCTGCAGCCCCTTCCACGCCGCCGCGGCGCGGAACCTGCTGCGGCCCAGGCGCGGAACCTGTCCGGAGAACTCGGACTGTTTCTCTTCAGGTATTCATATTTGTTCGTATCTCTTTCTATGTTTTTGTGAGCTGTGTTTCTTGACGTTTGCTTTTGTTCTCCTTATGCCATACGTCTCGAACATTTTCCGGGGCGCGTTTTTTGGTTCGCAGGCCGCCGGTGCTGCGTTTGCCGCTGCTGGTCCGCGACTTGCCGGACGAGGCGGAGGACACGGAGGCGGAGGACGGGGAGCGGCGGGAGGTGGGCCTGGAGCAGCAGCGGGACGCGTTCCTCGGCATTTTGCGCGCGAATCAATGGCCGGCCTCCTTAAAAGATACATGTTGCCCATTTGAAACATTGCTTTTTCCACCAAAATAAAGGGAAACCACCATGTGCAAGGCAATGTTCAGGTGTATACTGTAAGGATCCCTGCGATGCGTCCGGCTCGAAGGGTTCTTTATGGCGACTTTGTTGTTGCCCACCTACTTTGGCTTGAGATGGCTACTTGGTCAACAAGTTATGGCTATTTGGGTAGGTTTTTTTGGGGCGAGGGGTTCTTTCTGGACCAAAGGAGGGAAAGGATGCTATGTCCAGGTAGGAAGTTTGAAGGTATGGAAGCTCTACAAACAGTAGAAGCTCTTGATTGCTATTGGGTAACGGATCTTTGGACTTGCACTTCCGAATTGGACCCACAAAGGATAAAGAAATGCAGAGGCTTCAGCAACGTTTTCAAAGCCGGACCTTTTACCCCAAAGAGAACCAACCTATTTGATTTTTTGGTTTCCCAGCTGTGGTTGCCATTTTTAGGCATAGCCCCGAAAGGTTAACCTTCTATTTCTAGGCTTGGGACAGCTGAGCCTTCCCATCCACAAACATGGAACCTCACGCGCAGACACACACACACACACATGTTTAGGAAGACTAGGCTCCTTTAAGGGAATCTCTGGCGGGTGTCATGTTAGTGGACAGGAGGGTAACCTGTTGGTATTTCCTTGTTGGGTTCCCAGTTTTTGTAAAGATCCCAAAAGGTCAATCTTGCATTTCGAGGTTGGTGGCGCAAATGGGCTTTTCTCTTTTACTCCCTTGCAGCTGAACATGGAACCAACAATGCCTACCCAGTTTTAGGATCGTACTCCTTGGGCTCCGTATTAATTTGCAAGTACAAGTGATTATCCTTTTCAGGCTGGCGTTCGTCCGGCAAAGGGAAATCAAGCAGTTTGGAGGCTCCGGGTACTCTTCGTGCAAGGGGCGAATTAACTGGTAGCTTTGTTTTCCCATGGTCATGCAATGAACAATTACAAACCCTATTGGCCTTTAGACCGGGCTTCCTCTTCCCAGCTCGGAACCTCCAAGAGTGGCAGGATCAATGGACATCTACAGGTATTGATCTTTCTTTAGAAGGGACCCTCTGGTGGGTTCCGTGTTAGACAAGGTACCCTGGGTAACCCCGTTGGTTCTCCTCGAGTTTTAGAGGCACATCCCACTGAGGTTCTGGGATCCGCCGGAGACTGCTCTGGGCTTCTTAGCGCCTCGGTGGGGGGGCTGGCAGCTTGGGCGCTTTGCGGGGTAAGGGTTGGCGAAAATCAAGTTGGAGTTTGGAGGTTCGGAGAAGCCAGATGAATACGCCCTGGCTGGCTTGGAATACTGGAGTGGTTCAGAAGTGGTGGCCGGATTTTTCCCAAGTCCAGAAGTGGCGGATTGTTCCCAACAAGGCGAATCCTTTTTGGAGGACCACAGCAGCCACGCGTCAGCTTCCACGATTGGCTGATCCGAGGAGCTTGAGCTCACGGGGCTTTGCGAGGCGTTTCAGGAGGTGGAGGACGTGGCGCCCAAGAAGCTGCGCCCGGAGTGCTTGTACCTTGACCCGGAAGGGCGGTGATCATAGGTGGCCCTTTTTGGGTTAGTCTGGTGTCTTTTTTGTAGTCTGGTTTAGATGGTGTTTAGGTTAGTCTGGTTAAAAAGAGAAGGTGGCTGGTTTAGATGGTTTGTTTTCTCCATCCAGGGCTTCTTCCCAAAAGGACACCTATGGCGGTGAGTGATGCTGACGTGTTGACCTCGGAGAAGTACAGCCCTGGTGGATTCATGGGGTGCGTCTTAGTGGGATTTATAGGGGGCGTCCAGCCGTTTTAGTGGGATTCATAGGGCGGCGCCTTTTCAGTGGGGCTGACCGCTTTTGGAGGGGAACATCCACCCCGCGATTAGTAGGATTGCTTTGTTGGTCTAGGGTTCCCTTCGCCCGCTGTCTTTTTCATCCACTGGTTGCCGTGGGTCCGAGTCTGAAGAAACAAAATGTGGTTTTGTTCGGCTTGCCAGTCCAGTGCTCATTTGCTTTAGGGACAATCAATACCTCAAGTCCTCTTTCAACCACAGCAGGTCAGTGTGTGCATTTTTTTGGCTTACGGGTTGGAGTGTCAAATCTGGCAGAGCACCCTGGTTTTTCCCAGGTGCTGAGTGGATTCTAGCCTCTACCCTCCCTGCCACTAACATGGCGCCGTTTGCAAAGGAAACTCGTCTTCCAGGTGCCCTCCCACACATGTGTATGGGACGAAGAGTAAATCCTATTTTGTTTAGTGATCCCCTTAAAATCATTGACAGTTTGCGCCTTGCGCCTTGGCCTTTTGCCATGGTGATGGCGCATAATCTTGAATTTGTATGCACTCTGAGCCCACCTGCAATACCACGAAAATGCCTTGCAAAGCGACTAAGTATCAGTATTGGGGATGGCTCACTTCGACATCACAGCCAAGGGCGGTTCCCCACACGTGTGAGATTTGGCCCCAATATCCCCTCGCCTATGTGTTTTTACTATTGCTATTTATGTACCCCCTGTCCAACAATCATGGAAGTGGACAGGGGGCCGCCCAAAAGGACAGTAGTCTTTGAAAACTCTCCTGTCAGCTTCTATGATTGTTGGAGGGAGGGTATTCTTTTGGGGGGGAGGGAGGCACCTTACGAATTTACAACAGCAAGACATATTCTGACCATTGCCCGTGTCAGCGCATGTCATTCGACACTTGGGGTAAGCTGACTTAGGTACGACAGGCACAAGCACTTCGGCTACCAATGGCTGCGAGTCCCTTGGCGGCCGCAATTGAAGAACCTGAGCCTGGGAGCCCAAACTCAGTAGGACCAGCCATCCAGAGCAGTTCTACGGAAGCGTTGGGTCGGACCAGATGTTTTAGCGCCTGGGGCGTGGGCTCCTTCAGACTTGTCTCTTCCGACGCCAACGATACCAGACGAAGCAAGGTCCTGAAACGTTGCGGGAACTCGCCAGGTTCGCAAAGCCGAAGCCAGCACAATCCAGGGACCGGTGGCTCTTTGGTTTGACCTTTTTCCCAATATCGGGTTGTCATGGTACCAAGAAGTGAAAATTCGAACTTTTCGCAACCCCCTAGCAAACAAATGAAAGGACGCCTTTAAAATCAATGGACACTCCATTTATGCATTTTGATGATGTTGAATGGAAGCTAAAGGAGCCCTCTTTGTACTCATTCACACCCACCTAGGGGTTCAGCAAAGAGCGGCATCACCCGAAAAGTTGCTTTTGCTGGGAATGTTGTTGCTGTTGTTGTTGCTTGCCCAGTGGCCTTTTAGCTTCCCCTTTCGGTCCATTTTCGTCATGACCCTCCAATGGTTATCCTCTTTGGGCAACTGAGTGTTCCCTTGAAACTATACCCCCAGAAAGCCAGATGTGGGGGTTGATCAACATTCCTGTCCCCCAATTCCAAATGATCATGAGTAACTTTTCTCATTAGGTGATTCACGAATCATGTTTTGTGGGATCGTCATCCCATGTTTATCGGACCTTTTGTTCAACAGAATCCCTTTTTGCGGTCTCCTAGGGGCTCATTCGGGCAGCAGAAAGAAGCCATGCCGAATCCAGGGCCAACTCATCCAGGAGTATATACATCCCCACCCCCTTAAATATGGAATTGGGGGAGGGGGTGACTTTTGAAGTTCCATTTATGGTTCTATTTTTTTTGGAAGGGGGAAGACTCGATATATCGAATTGGGGACCGCCACCTCCCTCCCGCTTATCCCTTTTGGTAGGGTGTGTGTGTATATACCTTTTTGAACAATGGCCGGCCTGGCATGTATGGCCAGGCCACCAACAAATCACCGCAACTTCTCACACCAATATATTTCCCTTCAAGAACCCATAATTCTTCAGACGTCCCCATTCGGAGAGCCCACTTGGTGGTCTTGTGACCCACTCTACGAGTCCGTTTTTTCCCCCTGAAACCTATGGATTTGGTCTCTACCGGTTTCAAGGAGGGTAACCGGGGCTTCTGGGGCTGTTGGGGATACTACGCCGGGCTCATTTTTTTTTTTCTCGGGCCACTGGGCTTATGTTTTGTAGTTGTTTTCCTCAAACTTCCGGGGTTGGGTGTTGTCCCGACTGCTCTTCTGCGCCCCTAAAGTCTGCCTGGTCCCAGACGAACAGAAGATCTGGATATCTGAGTTCTTGTTTGACAGAGAATCTGGCGCCAGTTGTTTTTTGGCTTTTTTCGGGCCACCGGGCTTATGTTCTGCATCTGTTTTCCCCAAAGTACCGTTTTTTGTTTTTTTGTTTTTTGCTTTGCTATTGTTTTGTTCTGTTCTTTCTTTTCTTTTTTTTTGGGGGGGGCCACTGGTTTGAATGAGGTGCGCCAGTTCCAGCGGCTCATCGCCCAGCGCAGCCAGCGCCCGGAGCTGATCCAGGAGGCGAGCCAGGACGCGCTTGATCCGCTTCGCGGTAAGCGGCGGGAGCAGACCAGGGCTCCCATCCACGTCCTCCGTTTGCTTAAGAATATTTGTAATTTTCCCTTGTTGGGTTTAGAAGGAACTCACCCCTACTGGAAATATGTGCTTTTTCCTGGGCCTGAAGCAAATGGAAGACATGGCACGTCACTGGGGGTCCTGGAAGACAATTTTCATCAAGAGCCCAGTTGCCCAGCACTGCCCTTTTTTGTTTTTCTTCTTTTTTTGGGGAAGGGTTCCCCTGTCAACCAACCAAAAACGATGTCCTTTTTTCCCATGGCCACTGGGCATCTGAGAGGGACCCGAAAACCGTTGGTGGGTTCCATGTTTGTGGGCAAAAGGCGAAATGTGAAGCAGAATCCCTCCATTTGCTGAAAGGAATAATTATGTACTTTCTTCTGTTGGTTTTAAAGGGGATCGATTTCCCTACCGAAATTGATTCATGCTTATTTTCTTCCAGTTGACTTTAGCAAATGGCCGAATCTGAAGATATTATTCTAGATTTCCCCCAAAGTTGGGCCAGCGCCCCAAAAGGTTAACCTTTGATTTCTGGGTCCCTATGGGGCAACTGAGTCAACCTTCACTTCTGGATTTGAACACCGTTTTTGAGTCGGGTTGTTTGGCAGGATGTGTGCAACCTTTCATTTGCAATTAAAAAGCAAACCCTGTGGCTTGTTTGGTGTTGAGCTCCTTGTTGGGCTGTTCCTGTTTGATCCACGGGGCTATGCAAGACTTCTTTCGTCACCTGTCCAAAGACTAGCCAGTTATTCCAGGTATGCCCAGGTCCTGTCAGCCAAGTTTTGGAGATATCCATTGGGGGAAGGGCAATGCCAGGATCCTTCTGCAATTTATTTGTGTTCATAGGTTCACTCAATCTGGGCCCATCCGCAATTTTGGGGTAAAAGCTTGCATCCTCACTTAGTGGACCTCAGACTTGTCGACAAAGGTCATTGTGCGTGATGAGGGACTTGTAGCAGGAACTTGTAATCCGGATTGTGATGAATGCCAGGATTACAGCGTGCAACAGGTCTCACACGTGCACCAACAGTTTGGGTGGTTTCTCCGCAATCCGGGGCTTGAGAAGCACGTTGCTGGCTTTCCCGTATCCCATGGCACACGGAAAAATCGCCAACTTGTCACAAAATCCAAGGGACACACCCTACATCTTCCATGTCCTTTTTACAGAGTGGTGGGTTAGCACGGAGCTCAGTGTTCCCCTCCAAAAGTAATTAGTCGGACCCCCCCCTAAAACCAGAGCCACCCCCATATTGAGAAATAGGGGTGGTATTAATCCTGGGTTGACCCCCGAATGCGTTCTTTTCTTTTCGTTTCCCCTAAACCAACCAACACCGGGGTTGCCCTAGAGAAACAAACCACATTCTCTTGGCTCCCCGCCATGCGGGTCCCTGGCTTTTGAGGTTTTTAGTTGGTTTTGGTGGGGTTTCCGCATTTAACCTACAAAAAAGTTAGCAACATCTGACAAGAACGGACAGCCCAGTTCTGCCCGATTCCCCCAAAGGAATAGTTTTTCTTTTGGTTTCTTCATGGTTTCCCCCTGTAAGCCAACCAACACCGGTGGTTTCCCTCAGAGAGACGCACCCAGGACGTCCCCCCACTGCTGCGGGCGGAGGTTTGGAGCGCGCTGCTGGGCAGCGACCTGGAGGTGGACGGGCAGCCCCTCGGCGCTCGTCGTTCCGCGCGAGGTTTCGGGTTCTCCGCCGAGAAAAAAGTAAAAAGAAAAGAAACCGGCAGGCGTTGGTTCGAGGATACTTCCGATTTGTCCGCAAATTTCAACAATAGAAGAAACAAGGGGGGGTGTTGGTTCGAGGGTACTACCCATTTGTCCATGTCCTCGAGATTGTGTTCATACTTTTTTCTTAGGTGCTGATTTTGACGGGAATCCATCACTGGAAATATGGCTTGAGGGTACTTGTTTTTGTGCTTTACTAATTAGCTGGTGAGGCCCGACTCGGAGCTGGAAATAGGAGTTCTGCGAGCATATGGTAGTTGTGGCCGTTGACTCACCTTCGCTGGTGTTGGATCATGTTTTGCGTGACGGAAAGAACGGTATGAGTCGTGTAGTTGTTTGCTGTGTGTTTGTTGTTCGTTGTTTGGTTTTGTTTGGGCCTCACTGTTGGTGGGTCATGTTGTTAGGCTTTTGCTTTTTGGTTTTGCACATGTGTGTGTGTGTGTTTTTTTTTTTTTTTTTTTTTTTTTTTTTTTTTTTCTGGTGGACTGGCCAACGCACGTCCACACTTTTGATTTACCACTTAAATGGTCTTCCCAAATTCCGAAACGGAACTCAGGCAGTGACTTTCCATCCTTTGGGCTTGCAACAACAAACACCTAAACCAGTCCTTGATCCACACCACCCAGTAAAACGGAAGCTGATGTAGGCTGGTTTTAAAGTTGTATGTTTCTTCGGGTTAGTTCAAACGAGCCAAAAGAACAAGCACAGTTTTGCCAGGTGGAAGACATCTTTTTGGCATAGGCTCCCTGCCGTTATTCTCGCTGAAAACCCGCCGTCCCCTTGCTGATGCCCAGAGAACTTTGTTTCAATTTTGATCCTTTCGAAACAGGACACAGCTGCACAAAATCCGCTTCACACCAAAAGCGAAGGCTGGGATAGACCACCTACCGACTGGCAGGATGAACAAAACCTTTAGTTGATTAATATTGGCCCTGCCCCATTTCAGAGGGAATCCCCGACTTCTGAAGAAAAACGCATGTTAGTCAGAGAGGTTGACTCATCCGGGTTCAACAAATGGGCGGGTTCGCGGTGGCGCAATTTCCAATCAGTTTTGCAGGTGAGCAGTTTTGAGAAGCTTTCTGGGAATATCAAATATCGACATATGAGCCAACACTACCTCCTTCGGAAGAATACATTTAGAGGAGTCCATCTCTTTCTTCGGGGGGGGGGGAGGTGGCCAATTTTTTTAGGCCTCCACAATACAGTACAAGGCGGCACAAAAAGCTCAAAAGGGGGGTTGTCCAAACCCCCCTCAATAGCTTCTTTGCATGCTGCAATTTTCGTGTGGAAGCTAAGCCTCGATTGTTATATAATATAGATATATGTTCTTTTTTGTTTGAGAGAGTGGCGGGGGCTGGTGGGCAGCATTTTTCCCCAGTTTCTCAGATCCCCCCTAGGAAGCCAGAGATATGAGGTGATCAGTGGTCACCTTTCCAGGCCACTAGAAATGGGCCAAGAAGGAGAATTTACATGGTCAAGAAGATCGGCTTTGGGGAAGTGAGTGTAGGTGGGGGCTCATAGTCCACCTCCCACTTTTGAGAGAATCCCAAATTTTAGTGTTTGGCCAGCTGTATGTTTGGCCCACATCTGACTCCAAAAGTTGATTTGCTCATTCCGTTTCATATTTAGCCTGCCCTTAAATAGAAAGTAGCGTTGGTCTCCCGGGTGATTGGACACTTGCGAACCTGGGACCAGGATGTATGCTCATGTGTCATGACAAGTGTTCAACCCTGGAAAAGCCAAGCAGGTTGTTGGAATTGACGGCAGGTCTTTTGAACCGCCCCTCTGGCAGGTTGCTCGTTCTGTGCAGCCAAGAGGCAGGGTATCACCGCAGTTTCAACCGCCCTTATTTGGTGGTTTGGATTTTTTTGGGAGGTTGAACCCCTGGTTTGCCAAGCAAAACAAACACACACACACACATCCAGCCTTCCCCCTTGGAGCTTGGTATTGCTGTTGGGTTGGATCTTTAGACTTCAACTTTTAGGATGCCCCTCATATTTCCCTCTAACCAGTAAAAAGTTAAATGCTGGGGGATCTACAGCACCCAAGCTTCTCGGTTCGTTCAAACCCAGGTGCTGGACCCCATCCTACGAGAAGCTCCTGGTCACGCCCTTGCGCGGCACCGTATCCGGCGACACCAAAACCGGCAGCTCCTTGCAGAGGACTCGGCCAAAGGAATCGCCTTCAGCCGAAGCATGGCTTCCATTTGCGGAAAAAGGGCTGGGGTAGACTTAGGATACATTTTACATTTGACCAGTGACTCAACGTGAAGCAAACAATAAACAGGACATTCTATAACGGGCCCGAATTAACTCTAATCATGAGGAATATGGTTCATTTTCCCCTGGTCTTAAAGGGAATGAATATCCCTACCGGAAGCATGATGAAATTTTCTCCAGGGGACTCAAAGCAAAAGCCTGGGGCATGGGGATGGGGTCCCGCTTTCGTTGTTTTTTCCATGGGAAACCAACAGGAAAATGGTCTCAAAAAGAGACGCCCAAAGGGGTGCATCTTGAATCACTGAAGTAGATCCCGAAAATGGTCGGTTTACGTCTCGCTTTTTTTAACAACCAAAAGGTTCAAAAGCAGGGCGTTTTATCACATCCTGCATGCTACATCGCGAGTGCCCTTAGTTTACTCAAACGGAAAAAGCCAAAAGGTGGATAGGTGATTTGTTTGAACATGTGGGCACTATCAAGTCATGCACCCAGCATCCCAAAATTGCACCTTCTCCCATACATGGCACACAAAAGGTTGGTTTATTCCAGGTTTTCTGTGTAGCACCCAGGCGATTCCAGGAGTCTTGCAGAATGGTGGACACACAGTTTCTGGAGCAAAACCCGTTTCGCACCAATTGACTTTTAGCTCCTTAGCACTCCCTTTTGCACTCCCAGCGCCGCTTCAACGCGACTGAAACAAACTAGTTCCCCAGTAGTGCCCTTTACCCTTTTTTGGGCGAGGGTTCCCCGCCTAAAATAGACTACAGAAAAATGGGTACCCTTATTCTAACCTCTCTACTGGAGGACCTAGCAAAAATTAGCAAAAGCACACGTTGACCAACTCAGCTGACGTCGTCTGGAGGAGCACCGGGGTCATTGGCCTCGAAGATGAGCAGTGGAAGACCGCCCCTCGGACGTCAGGTGTTCTTCAGTGGATGGGCGAAACCTTGCATTACGCAATCTTAGACTGCTAAGTTTTTCCACTTTAAGAAGACTTAAGTTTTTCCTTTAAGTTTTTGGGAAGACAAGGGGTTTTCCACTAAACACCCAAAAAGTCAAGCTTTTTGCAGGGGGGTCAACAGCAACCAAGCAATACTTCCTGTTTTCTGATGATTTCCCAATCGTTGTGGTTTCAACCATGAATTCAACTTGGCGCGAACAGAATTACAACAAGACAACGCAGATTTCAGAATTAAAGCGAGCTCAGTGCTGATGAAGGCTCCTGAGGGGAGTCCTGAGTTCTATTGAATTCAAGTTACTTGCCCGGGGAATAGTGGAGTGCATGTGTACTTGTGCAGAAGGGCTTCCACGTTTGACAAACTCCATCAAATTGCCCTGCATGCCGCGGTCAACAGGGAAAGCATGCAGATATATGCAGATGCAGGGGAATTGCTGTGAAGCGCCGCTTCCTGCGCCTGTTGCAGGATCTTCCTTTGTAGCCTGATGTGTCAAGAAGATCGTGCAAACTTTGTTTTGTAGGCTTGGCCAAATTCGATCGGAAGTGACGCGGGTTTCCCGTTTTGGGTTCCCGCTGGCTTTCCGTCGCCTCCGATTTCACCCATTTTGGTTCCCGTTTTGGATTAGCTTTGATTAGAAATAGATGGATGCCACTCAGTTTGGTTTTATGCACAATTTACCAGACAAAAAAGCATGTCCAAAAGGACACACACCTATATGGGGGGGTCTTGTTTTTGGACATTTGGGGACCCTTCTTCCTGTGGGTGTCCCAAAACTCGCCAAACATCGGATCTGTAGGCGGTGAAAAGCCGGCCCATGGCCACGTGCTCGGAGCCGAGTGGTTTGGTGCGACGACTGGAACGGCTGCTGCACGCGCTGCTGGTGGCCCAGCTGAAAGGAAACGAACGCGGCGGAGGTGGGTTTTTTGTCAGCTTCCACCGAATGGATGGCTTGGATTGGTGGTTTGGATTTAAATTGGTGGTTTGGATCTGGATGTGAAGCCCATTTGTCCAAGGATGTTTGTGTGTGTGTGCGTGACTCATTTTTCGTCTTGGGGACAAACAGCGTCTTGGTTGGTTCTAGTTGAAGCCAAGAGGAAATCAACAGTTTTGGAAAACGTGTTTTTCGCCATGTGCTTGAGAAGCTTGTTGATTGTCTCCCTGTCGGTTTAAAAAGGGAAACTACCAGCAAATGGCAGGTTTGGTCTCGTCAGCTTCCCCCCCAATGGGTGGCTTGGATTTGATTCTTGCAGCGGGTCAATGGGACCCCCCCCTTGTCAGATGTGGGTGTCTCCTTTTTGTGGGGGAACCCTTTCCTGGCTGGCTTTAAGCGAATGGACGGTATGGTGTGTTGTCAGATGTTGACGTGTTTTGTCAGATGTTGATGTGTTTGTGGCTGAGTTGTTTGACTATATGGTGAGTGTATGTTGTTTTGTTATTGCTAGAAATTCGATATTGATGTTCATTAGTGTGTTGATGTGGTGACGGACCAAATGGGAAGTTCCCAATCGTATGTGCCACCACAGTTTAGTCTAGTTTTATTTGCCTTTATGCCACTGCTTTTGTGGGTATTTGTTTGCTAACTGAAAGGGCTTTGTCGTTATCTTCATCCAAGGTTTGGCAGCGCGTCTCCTCTAGTTTGTATCGCACAAAAGTGACGTTACGTGCCCACTTGTTCCAATTCCCTTCAACATGCAACTAGCCAAAACAAGTATCAATCCCATTTGACACCGTTGGACAAGTAAGGTGGCCAATGTCCTGCACGAGGCCCTGCTTGTGGGATTCGGGTCAGGGGCTGAGGCGCAGGAAAGGGAATTCAAGAGAAGATCCTCATGCTGATGCAGATGTCCTTGGCGGGTCGCACACGTGAATTTGGGCCATCTAGATCCCTGTTGGCGCTGCTTGAGGCATGCTTGGCTAAGCGCCCTGGCCAATCAAAGAGGTTCTCCAAATCGGGCGGCCGGCCACCCCCTCTTAAGTCGGCATCCACGGGGCGTCTGAGATTTGAATGAGCCTGTAGCTGGGCGCTCAGCCCAAAGCTTGTGGTTCATCTGAGAACAGTCCCATCAGCATGGACCACTCAGATGCGAGGGGATGCACACCTGGAAGGGAGCAGGGGAGGGGGTTCAAAGAACTTGCATGGCATGGACCCTGACAAAGATCAAGTCGGGGCTACCAAACTGTAGGCACTCTGTGTGCCTTTGGGAAACTTGCCCTTCGCTGCAGCCAAAGTAGTCAGAGGCGTGTCTCGTGTTTCTGCCGGGAACAGGAGCAACAGACAGCCAACGTCGGCGAACCCTTCCTTTTTTGCCGACCCCTATTGCCGGGTTCTCCCGACCGGCAATTTTGCACCGAAACAAGGCGCACAACAACTATCATTTTTTCTTGAAGTATCATAACGCTTCAGCAGTTCATGTTTCACAGCCTCACAAGCTTCTTAGCCTGGGTCGGCTCACAGATGGAACACCCACCCACTTCGGGGTCCAAATCCCTATTTGAACACACACACACTCACAAACACACACACAGACACAGACACAGACACAGACACAGACACAGACACAGACACAGACACAGACACAGACACAGACACAGACACAGACACAGACACAAACACAAACACAGACACACACACACAGACACAGACACAGACACAGACACAGACACAGACACAAACACAAACACAAACACAGACACACACAGAGACACACACACACACACCACACCACACCACACCACACCACAGCACAGCACAGCACAGCACAGCACAGCACAGCACAGCACAGCACAGCACAACACAACACAACACAACACAACACAACACACACACACACACAACACACACACACACAAAAACAACACACAACACACAGCACACAAACAACACACGACACACAACACACGACACACAACACACAACACACAACACACAACACACACACACACACAACACACACAACACACACACACAACACACACACAAACAACACACACAACACACACACACACCCACACACACCCACACACACCCACACACACACCCACACACACACACCCACACACCGACACACCGACACACCCACACACCCACCCACCCACCCACCCACCCACCCACCCACCCACCCGCACGCACGCACGCACGCGCACGCCCACGCCCACGCCCACGCCCACGCACACGCACACGCACACGCACACGCACACGCACACGCACACGCACACGCACTTGCACACGCACTTGCACTTGCACACGCACACGCACACGCACACACACACACACACACACACACACACACACACACACACACACACACACACACACACACACACACACACACACACACACACACACACACCTATCGCTCTCCTGCAGGTTGAAGGTCTGGGTGCCTTTTGCGCGGTGGTGGCGGGGCCCGGGGCGGGTGGGGTGTGGGGAAAGCATTGGGCGTGGAGCGTTTTATTCCCCGCACGCCCAGTAGATCTCTTGACATGTTTCTTATTTCTTGGGCGGGGGGGGGGGGGGGGTTCGCTTAAATCAACTGCAAAAGAAAAGTACTTTTTGTTGCCCATAGCCAATTCTAGGTGTATCTATTGCAGCCTCACAAGGGGGCAAAGCGAAAAGCGACCTCGCCCCTCGCCCGTTCGGCCGTGCCCATGTGCAAGTTTTTGTTTGGGGGAATCGCTGCAAAACCAAGGGAATTCAGCTGCTGACCACCAACAAATACGACCAAGGTCTGTAAAAGTTACTTGGCCAGCACCTCCGGTGGACACGTAGGGCCTAGTCTGCAACTGCCTTCTTTAGAATACTGCTTTCGTAGGCTTGGGGCTGCAATGAGCAGCCTCTCAGGTGGACGCGGATTCATGCACAATGGATTCAGGTAAAGCCTGATGAGTAAACCCAGCAGTGTTCCCCTCACCAAAGTTATAAAGGATCCTCTCTCAAAATCCTGGAGCCCCAAATTGATGGCGCCGCAACTCGGCGGCAGAGCAAACACTTGCCTTTCTTTTCGGATTGCACGCCCTGTGCGGTTTGGTGCTATTTAGCGTCCCTCGGACGATGGTTGCTCATCACGGTCTCTACGTAGCCTGCTATGCCTGCTTACTAGCCATCCCGGCTGACCTTTTGACCCTTTGGTTTTGTTACAGTTTTGTTAGCTCAGCAACCATGTTTAACCCAACGTCCCAAAAAGTGCCTGTGCTAAATTCATATTTCCTTTTGGCAATAGAGATCTAACAAACAGCAAAGTAATGATCGAAGTGGCGACTAGCGACTTTTGTGCAAAACATTGGACGCTTTTGCCTTTGTCTTTCAGCAGCTTGTGCTGGACCGCACAAACGGGGCCCCTGTGATGAGCTTGAAGCCATACTGCGGGTCGGCTCTCTCCTTCAGTACGGCCCAAATATAATCTAACGACGCACTACTGCGGATGGACGAAGTCCAGCACCACCTAAGAACCCTGGAATGATGATTCCCCTGAAATACCAACAAACCATGGTTTCTCATGGTTTCATAGGTGGTGCAAAATGGATTTGGTCCATCGACAGTATGGCTTGCGAAGCCTGGAGGCTTACCGGGGCTTACAAGGAACTCTGCATGGTCTCATCACATCATTTTGATCAGTGCTTGAGCAACCGGTTTTGGGGCGACCCCCAAAACCCGAAAGAACTCAGTTGGGGCGACCCCAAATTTACGGGAGAAACGGGTCCATGGTTCACCCCTCACGGCCCTTTGCGCCCGCCTGGCGCCTGGCGCCTGGCGCAGGCTGGGGTCTTCACCTCGGAGGCTGCCGCCTTTATGGCAGGCCAGCGCTTGCTGCATGGCTCCCTGGCCGGACGACCGCGGGGGTGAAACGGAGCGGGAGGGGTGGGTGGTGTGGATTTCTTGGTGGAGATGGGTTCATGTTGGTTTATTCTTTTTGGCTGGGAGGAGGTCGGGGGTGGTTTTTGGTAGTTTTTGGTGGTCCTATTTTGAGACATGAGAAAATGGACAATCGTGGGCGTGTGTTTGCCATCAGTTTGGGGATGGGTTGGGGTTCGTCACCTCATTTGGCGTCCAGCTAGGTGGTTGGCCCTTCATCCAAACAACCCCTAGTTTGCGACAGCACGGCGAATGCGAGAAGCCGGGTGACAATGGGATATAATATAATGGGTATCATTTCCCAGCCGGCTGGGCACGAATCACTTTGAAGGGCCAGAATATCGTTTCAGCCGATCTCCCAGACCAAAACCAGCAACCATTTGGGGTCTAAGTCAAATCCAGCAACCAGCCGGGCGGCTCCGGAGCTCCGAGGCTTCTTGTGGCCCTTCTATGGACCTTCGGGGCCTTTGTTCCGCCATCAGCGCCTCGGCAGTTTGGTCGTGTCCAAACCCGGCTGGGTTGAAGCGGATCGCAATCGAGCAGGAAAGGGAGGGCCATTCACTGGCCAACAGCAGAATGGTGCTGCCCAATCAGGAAACGTGTTATCCAGGAACCCTTCGATTCAACATACCTTTTAAGCATCCCTTTGAGCCCTTTCATTCTCATGGAAGGGTTGGGGTATGCTCAGAAGGAATGTTGGAGGGCTATTGGGATACCAAGTGAACCCCCTTGAAAGTGACAAAGTAGTCGCGGTTGGTTCACCTCATCGGTATCACAGAAAAGGTGAAGTTCAACAACCTTGCTGAGGAACATGTGGAATAGCTTTGGTTCCATCACATCCTGCAAAGAGCTGGGGGGGGGGGACTCGTATTCGTTTGGTCTCCCCAATTTTGAGACAAGCCAAACAAATATGTGGAATTGGCACAGCAAAAAGAGCCCCAGGTGCTAAATAAAAGGCAAATTGTTATTCTCCCAAAGGAAAACAACAAGCACACAACCGCGCACACACACACACCCATCCAACCAACCAATTTTCCAACCACCAACCACCCAACCCCCACCACGCAACCACCCAACCACCCAACCACCCAACCACCCAACCACCCAACCACCCAACCACCCAACCAACCAACCAACCAACCAACCAACCAACCAACCAAAACCAACCAACCAACCAACCAACCAACCAACCAACCAACCAACCAACCAACCAACCAACCAACCAACCAACCAACCAACCAACCAGTAAGCAACCAAACAACCAATGGCCTGCAGGGCTGGGCCGCTCAGCTGCTTGCCGGACCTTTGCTTGCTCAGCTGCCTGTTGGTCTGCAGCTGCTTTCTCCTTTTCAGGCCTGCAGGCCTGCACTTGCTGGGTTGCTTGTTGGCAGGGCCGGGCAGCTCAGCTGTTTGCTGGGCCTGCGCTTGCTCAAGCAACCCAGCAAGCGCAGGCTGCAGGCCTGAAAAGGAGAAAGCAGCTGCAGACCAACAGGCAACTGAGCAAGCAAAGGCCCAGCAAGCAGCTGAGCTGCCCAGCCCTGGAGCTGGCGTTGGCCTCATTGCGCAGGTCTCAGTGCCAGCATGCAAGACTGTCATCCAGAACTCGTCCACTCCGAAACACCGCGCACTGTCTTAGAAAGGGTGGGTGTCTCAGATTGTCTCAGTTTTCTAGACAGCCCTCCTTTGTAAAACGGTTGCCATCATCAAGTTGTTGCACGGTTTTTTTTAGATAGCCCTCCGTTGTAAAATAGTTGTCATCATCAAGTTGTCGCACGGGCTTTTAGACACCGTTGCTTTGTAAAATAGTTGCCATCATCAAGTTGTTGCACGCTCTGCCTGTGGAAAGTGTCATTCATCCGCAGCCTCAGCTGTCCAGTCGCGCGCCGCAAATGATGGCAGACAACATGTCCTTGAACTTGTCATCGCGCAGCTCCTGGAGCCGCATTGGAGGTGAAGGCCATGTCGCACAACAGTACAACATGCAACACATGCCCACAGTGTGTTTGCAGCCTTGCAGCTCTGACTCACGCGGGAAGCTCAGTCCGATCAGCTGGAACTACTTGCAGTATTACCTGAGAGCCCAGCAGCCCATCCCGCACCTTGAGGTCAAGGACCCGCTGCTCCAGTTCCTCAGAATGGTTCAGACATTGGAAAGGTTATGCGTGATATATCCAACTAAAGGGTCAGTGAGAAGGGCAATGGCTGACCACAAGTACAAGGACATGCCCTATCCGGAGCATCTGCTGCAGCTGGCAGTGAATTGCCACTGTGCTGAAGCAGCCATTAAGGCTCCCAGCATCTGCCCCAACTCACTTGGCACTTAGCTTCATGCGCCACACGTGGCAAGCTGAGGCAATACTGGCCTGGACTTCTTGCCCAGGGTCTGTCATGACCAGGCCTTGCAGGCCTGCCAGCGGATGTTGCTTGTTTGCACTGTAAAACATGATAAGTGCAGAGCGCTGAACTGCTCACGGCACGGGCTCAGGCTTGTTGACCTGGCTTCAGACGCCCAGCAACGCAAGGCTGATGCAGGCATGGCTGCAGGACTGCGTTGCACCTGACTTGCTGCTTGCGCGTCATGTTAATGTTGGCAGGGACCATGCTAGGAGGCACAGGGGAACCGTGGGCTGCGTGTCAGCCTTCCTTTTCCACTACTGCAAGGGCGGGCAGTTCGCTGAGCGCAGCCTGGGGTACCACCACCCAACAGGCCCGGGGTACAGCCTCGCGCGCCTAGCTTTGGACCATTCAGTTCTTGCACGCCACTGTCCCAGGTGCAGGATGTGGTGGTGTTGTTGCGGGCCCTGATCCTGGCCCGAGTGACTCCACCAGCAGTCCTGCAGGCCAACCAGTCCTGCAGGCTGAGCCATGGTTGCACTCAGAGTCATCCATCCACAGCCATAGTACCTGGCTATGCATTTCGGGCCGATGTGGCGCACGTATGTCGCCTCCCTATGTCTGGGAGATGGAGGTCTTCTCTGAGAGAACGCTCGGTGCTCGCTACATCTTGCAGGCCCGCACAGGCCACTTCAACAGCATGTCGAAAAACGTGTTCAGCTTGCTTCCCCAACCAACGAACCAACCAACCAACCAACCAACCAACCAACCAACCAACCAACCAACCAACCAACCAACCAACCAACCAACCAGCAAACAAACCCACCCACCCACCCACCCACCCACCCACCCACGCACCCACGCACCCACGCACCCACGCACCCACGCAACCAACCCAACGCAAGCCAGCCCAACCCAACCAACCAAACCAACAACCAAACCAACCAACCAAGCCAAACCAACCAACCAAACCAAACCCAACTCAACCCAACCAAGCCAAACCCAACCCAACCAACCCACCAAACCAAACCAAAGCAAACAAGCAACCATCTTCACAAAAGCCACAAGCGTTGAACCCATGTTCGCCGCTGACTTTCGGGGGAGGAACCTGCGGCTCTTCGAGTCGCTGCTGAGCTTCGCGGACCCCGAGCTGGCGCTGCACCTCTCCGAGCTGGGCATGCGACCGGAGACCTACGCCAAGGACGGGGCTGGCACTGGGCTGGCGCGCTGAATGGGAAGACGTCGTTTGAGGCTTGGCGCCCCCCCCCCCCCCCCC